ATTACAAGAACTAAGAGTTATTTTGATTCCAATAATTGCCTTCGTTGCAATTGGCTGATGTGACCTGTCCAGAATCTTAAGTGCTACTGAGCAGCCATTGTCACATTAGATGGCCCAATAACTCATCCCACAACAGAAGAAGAAAAGGCTAATTCTGGTTCAATTACAGACTATAACCAAACAGTGGATGCTCTTCTTTTTTTTTTTTTCTCTCAGACTGCGTCCTCTCCCTTTTGCTCCCCCAAAGGAAAGCAAGAACGATCATCAATGGCAAACGGCAGTTGCAGTGAAGCAACACCAAGAGCTGGTTTCACACTCAGGAGAGGACACTGCACTTCCTCCTCATGATTTCTGGTGCTCTACACCATCAGAAAAACTTCTCTAGTAACGAAGTATAGAAATGATTCCTGAAAGTATTGTCTTGGATGCTCTTCTTTTTTTTTTTTTTTTTTTTTTGAGTTGGAGTCTCACTCTGTCACCCAGACTGGAGCTGGGCTCCAGTGATCCTTCCGCCTCAGTCTTCCAAGTAACTGGAACTACAGGCGCGCATGGATGCTCTTCTTGATCAGCAAATTGATTTTAACAAGATCTTGGCAAGGATAAAAATCTAAATATAGTCGACTAATGTCTTGAGATGTAACTTCGTCTGTCCTTGACCAAAAGGGAGAACTGAGGAAGAGTTAATCTGCTCTGTAAACTAATCTGCTGTTTACAGTGAGATCTCCATATTACTATAAGCTGGTGTGATGCTTATTGGCCATATTGTTCTGGTCTCCTGTTCTTTCCTCCCAGAATGCCAACCTCAGACAAGATGTACTTTGTGACCATGAAAAAATGAAGCAAAGTCCTCCATGTGTCCCATTTCAGTTATAATCCACTCTTTCCCCCTAAAAAGCAACCACTCTCCAAACTCTTACAGTAATCATGTCCCTGTTCTTTATAATTTTATCGCCAAGTGTGTATCCCTGGACACTATATTTAGTGTTGTTCATTTCTTAAAATTTGACATATCTTTTAAGTCCCTTAAGGTAGGATCAATGCTAACTTACCCCCAACCCCCTTTCTTTCCTCATAGTTTTTCTGTTGAAGAACTCAAGCCTTTTGATCTATAGAGTTTCCCAATGTCTGAATTTTACTGACTGCTCACTTGTGTCACAGTTTAATATGCCCCTTCATCCTTTGTGTTTATTACAAACCACAATTGTGGCCCACATTTCAATACTGAAAACCCCTGTCTGTCTCAGATGGCAGAATAGTAGCATCAAGTAGGGGCAGAGGCTGGACTCACATAGCCAGGAGCTGTTCTGACTAAGGGACTGAGGGGAGACACACCTTGGGAAGTGGCCCTCCTCATATCACACCAGGCCAGCTTGCTTCCTGAAACATTGTGTACAGGCCAGTAGTTACCATTCAGGCAGCTGGATCCAAAGTCTTGGTCACACACTGGTTCAGTCCCTCTGTCAATACTATAGGTGCTGGAGTGCAGGGGCATGATCACAGCTCACTACAACCTTGACCTCCTAGGCTCCAACAATCTTTCCACCTTCGGCCTTCCCAGTAACTGGGACTATAGGCATGTGCCACCACACCCAACTAATTTGTAGAGAATTTTTTTTGTAGAAAATTTATTGGTGGCTACAAAATAGTGACAATATACTTCTTTTTTTTTTTTTTTTTTTTGAGTTGGAGTCTCACTCTGTTGCCCAGACTGGAGCGCAGTGGTTGTTCCCGGCCACCGCAGCCTCAACCTGCTGGGCTCTGGTGATCCTTCCACCTCAGCCTTCCAAGTAGCTGGAACTACAGGCACGCACTACCATGCCCGGCTAATTTTTTATTTTTTGTAGAGATGAGATCTCGCCAAGTTGCCCAGGTGGGTCTCGAACCCACAGGCTCGGGCAATCCACTCACTTCAGCCTCCCAAAGGCATGGGATTACAGGCTGAGCCACCGAGCCCGGCTGGACAATATACTTCTATTATTTCTTTTTCGTGTATTAATTAAAATAGTTTCATTAAGAGATGCTTCTTCAGCCAGGTGCTCATGCCAATAATCCCAACACTTTGGGAGGTAGAGGTGAGAGGATTGCCTGAGCCCACAGGCTCAAGACCAGCCTAAGAAACTTGGTGAGACCTCATCTCTACAATAAATCAAAAAATTAGTCAGGCATGGTGGTTATGTCTGTAGTTCCAGCTACTTGGAATGCTGAGGCAGAAGGATTGCCTGAACTCAGTAGGTCGAGGCTGCAGTGGCCATGAGCATGCTACTGCACTCCAGTCTGAGTGGACAGAGTAAGACTCCAACTCAAAAAAAAAAGAGAGAGAGATGCTTCTTCTAATCTACTATTTGGTTATCTATAGGAATAGTTCATACAGGAAAGGTAGGATACATGTTTAAGTTCATGAACTGGTTCCTCTAAAGAACCAGCTCTCTTTAAAAAAAAAAAAAAAATCCTTATGAACTTATGAATTCAAACATATTTGATGGATTTTAATCTATGGAAATTATTATTATTATTACTGATGCTTAAATTTTCCTCTCTCCAAAATGACTTGATCAACTCCTGGTAGTCTTTGTGGCATTCTTATTATCTGGTATGACCAAGTGTCCCAGGCTTATCACTTACATTTCTTGTTCCAAATTTGTTAACAACTGTTTCGCCAAGAAGCAGCTCTAGATCATAATGTGAGTATTAGGGAATTGGTATGTGCATTGCTATAAGTTGGTCACTGTTTCCAGTACTTAGAAATAGCTAGAGAAAAAGAGAGAGATTATATGCTTTTAAACTTAACCATTTCTATATTAACCTGTATCTCCTTTTTTCCATACCAAAAATTCTGGTTTTCAAGGATAAAGGGGATGTTGAATTAGATTATCTTCATTGTTAATTACTCATTAATTTTATCCCATGCTATGCTGTAGTCTCAGAATAGCAATACTCACTCTATTGCCCAGGGATCTCACTCTACTGCCCAGGCTGGAGTGTAGTGGCATGAACACGGCTCACCGCAGCCAAGAGCTCCTATGCTCAGGCAATCCTCCCTCCTCAAGCTCCTACAGGTACTCACCACAACATCCAGCTACTTTTTTAATGTTTTGAACAGATAGGGTCTCACTATGTTGCTCAGACTGGTCTTGAACTCCTGGCTCAAGCAATCCTCTTACCTTGACCTCATAAGTGCTGGGATTACAGATGAGAGCCACCACACCCAGCCCAAGTTAATTCTCAAGTAGAAAATAAATCAATGCAAGAATGATTGGGTACTAACTTTCTCTTCTCCCCACACAAAGCAGTTGCTCCACCCAATTTCATCTTGCTTGTTCCTTACAGTGTCCTGAAATTCTTGCTGAATAGAGGGCACAGGGCCTGAATGGCAACTGGTGGCCTGTACACAATGCTTCAGGAAGCAAGCTGGGCTGGTGTGGAGTGAGGAAGGCCACTTCCTAAGGTGTGTCTCCCTTTAGTCCCTTAGTCAGAACAGCTGCTGGCTATGTGAGTCCAGCCTCTGCCCCTACTTGATGCTGCTGTTCTGCCATTCGAGATGGACAGGGGTTTTCAGCATTGAAATGTGGGCTACAATCTGCTTACAAGAGCCCCCAAATCAAAGTTCTTGTTCACCATGTGTGATCAGCCTTGGGTTCTAATATGGCTGCAGAACTTGAACCAGAGTATGAATCGTGAGGAACAGATTACAAATCTCCACTTGCAGAGCTGAGAAACCCCTCTCCCCTAAAACTGTGACAAGAGCCTACCCCCTTGGACTTGGATTTCAGTATCTAATGCTGTGACTCCCATCCTCAGGAAAGTCTTGTCTCAGATGTCGCTAAGATCTGGGAGTTTCTTATGCTACTCACCCTCCTGCCACTCTCTGCCCTCCCCCCACAACCCGCTCTGGGCTCCACTCTCCTTTCTGCACCAGATCACAGTGAATTGAATGATGTATTTATGTGTCTTGAAAGCAGGGACTATCTTTTGTTCACTTTATGTTCCCAGTGCCTGGTTCAGAGAATACTCTTCATCAGCTAGAGAGGGAGGAAGTCAGAGAGGTGATAAGTCTTATCTCCCAGACTCCCTGAGAGCAGTGGCCTCCCACTCTTCATTGCTACCTCTTCTTCCTCCCCATAGCAAAACCCACCACAGGATGAGGCTCAGGGTGAGTATGCAGATGAGTAATGTCTTCATTTAAGAGTCAAAAAAATCTCCACTTGCAGAACTTCTGAGAATATCTTTATTTAGCTCAGGTAGATGTTCCTACACATTTTTGGATACTTGGTTAGAATTTCCTCTATTGCATTTAGTCAACGGTTCTTAGGCTCTTACGTATGATTAATGCAAACATGCAAGCACAATGCAGGCTAGAATAAAAGGTTGTTGTGTGCAAACACTGAAAATAGACATTTTAATATTGGGGTAGAGAAGAAAGACCAGCAAAAGGTGACTGAAATACCAGCCCCTCACTCCAGTTCTAGTCCTTGTGCCTGGATCTATACACTCCTTCTGCTCTCTGCTCCTGTTAGACACAGTTCCCAACCTGGATGGGAGCAGGGGCCGTATAAGACCAGGAGGCAGTCCTGTTTGTTCTTGCCTGCAGGGAGGGCAGAGGAAGGCAATTCCCCCAGGAACAATATACCAGACCCTTGGGGTCAGATTGCTCAACCTTGTTCAAGCTGCGAGACCACCTCTGAGCCAGCGTCATGGTCTGTCTCTTCTATTCACTCTTGACAGCTCCCAATTGTCAAAGAGATTGGACAGGCCCTGGCGTGGCCTGCTCTAATTGTTTTTCAAGCCAGTCAGCACCCCCACAGAGCCAGCCAGCTCTGGGCCAAGGGGCTTCCAAAGAGCTCTTCGGAGCTTCTCAGAGGTCTAAGCCTAGCAGGCCTCCTCACTCAAGCCCAACTTCAGAAGGCTCCACTGGCTCCTGTGTGGCCTGCTGTGCCCACTGACTATAGTTAGTATGCAGAGGGCAAGTCCAGGGTAGAAGGCAAGCATGATCTCTCAGGCTTGCCCATAGCTCAGATGGTAAAAACTCAGTCAGGCCAGTCTGTGTGAGTTTCAGGTTGAAGTTTAGACACCTCTGGGCCAGCTCCCTGGTCTGGCTGCCTAGCAAGGTCAAGTAGCCAGAGTCTAGGCCTCAGGGCTCTCAGGCGCCTAAGAGCGCAGCTGCACTTGGAAGTGCTCGCAGCGGGGATGCTTCATGGTCAGTCCGTAGATGGGGGTCATGTCCACCTTCACACCTGGTGACACGCTGAATTCCAGCTGCTGCAGCAGGATGGCCAAGAAGAGGAAGACCTCCCAGCGGGCAATGGTCTCCCCAATGCATTTCCGCTTGCCCAGGCCAAAAAGAATCACCTTCTCACTCAGTGTCTTGTCAATAGTGCCATTAAGAGCAAGAAATCGTGTGGGCCGGAACTCAGATGGGTCACCCCACAATTTCCTGTAATCAGAGGGAGGGAGCTGAAGTGGCAGCCAGGGGGGTCAGAAGCATCAAATGGGTTAAGCCCCAACCCCAAAAGATAGGGGGCATGGGTAAGTGGCCCTCAGACAGGAGGGTCTGAAGGCCGGGAGAGAGTGGGCCCAGCCTTCCCTCTGCCCCTCTCAACTCACTGGTCATGGTTGATCTGCCACTGGTTCACAAAGACACAATGTCCCTTGGGGATGTAAAAGCCACGTAGACTTGTGTCTCTTGTGGTGCTAGGGAGGGAGGAAGCTCAGTCATGCTCAGGGCCGCAGGGAGTCCCCTCATCTCCCATGTCATGTCCCTCCCACTAACCCTGATCAGGTATATGGACAGCAGTGGATCTATGGGGTCTCACCTGTGGGGGATGGTAAAGGGGACAAAGGAGGAATGTCGGAAGGTCTCCAGTATGAAGGCCTCCAAGTAGGGAAGTTGGGGTCTATCAGAGAGCCGGGGCTGCCGCTCCCTGCCGATCACCGCATCTGCAGAACACAAAGGGTAAGATGGATTAAGGGCCTGTCTACACCTGACCAGGCACCTAGCATTGACCCCTTTGAAAGAGCCACCACTTACCTAACTCCTCCTGGATCTTTCTCTGTACCTCAGGGTTTGTCACCAAGTACATGAGGCTCCAGGAGATGGCAGTTGTGACTGTGTCAAACCCTGGACAGTATAGAACAGAAGGACAAGTTAGGCAGGTGGTAGGTCAGGGTGCTTGGACACAGGAAGAGCACAGTGGGGTAGCTCATACCAGCTCCAAAGAGGTCTGAGACAACATTAATGATCTTCTCGTCTGACAGCTGGATATTGGCGTTCTCATCCAGTTTCTTATCCTGACAGTGTTCAATCAGGCTGTCTGTGATGTCCCTGATGTGACCCTGGGTAGGAAAAGGCCACAGGTGAATAGATCCCAGGTCTGGTGCAGTGGCTCACACCTGTAATCCCAGCACTTTGGGAGGCTAAGGCAGGAGGATTGCTTGAGTTCAGGAGTTAGAGATCAGCCTGGGCAACATAGTGAGACCTCGTCTTTACAAAAAAATCAAAAAAATTAACCAGACATGGTGGCACATGCCTGGAGTCCCAGCTGCTTAGGAGGCTGAGGTGGAAGGATGCTTGGGCCCAGGAGGCCAAAGCTGTGGTGAGCCATGATGGTGCCACTGCACTCCAGCCTGGGCAACAGAGTAAGACTAGACCTCAAAAAAAAATTTTTTTTTAAGTCAAAGCCAGACCTACCTCTCCATCCAGGCCTGTCCTTCACTATCCCTCACACCTTTGTTCAAGAGTGATAGCCTCTGAGACTGTTACCCCAGTGTCTCCTATCTTAGAATACTAGTAGCCCCAACTAGAGGCTCAAGGGATACCTGACACAGTCTGGTACTGTGACCATCTGGATGTACTCTAGCTTTTTTCTTTTTTTTTTTTCTTTGAGGTGGAGTCTCACTCTGACACCCAGACTGGAGTGTAGTGGCTACTCCCGGCCACCACAGCCTCGACCTGCTGGGCTCCGGCGATCTTTCCACCTTAGCCTTCCAAGTAGCTGGAACTACAGGTGCGCGCTATCACGCCCGGCTAATTTTTTTTTCTGAGTTGGAGTCTCAGTCGCCCAGACTGGAGTGCAGTGGCCACTCCCGGCCACCGCAGCCTTGACCTGCTGGGCTCCGGCAATCCTTCCGCCTCAGCCTTCCAAGTAGCTGAAACTACAGGCACGCGCTTCCACGCCTGGCTAATTTTTGATTTATTGTAGAGATGAGGTCTCACCAAGTTGCCCAGGCGGGTCTCGAACCCACGGGCTCAGGCAATCCACTCACCTCAGCCTCCCAAAGTGCTGGGATTACAGGCTGAGCCACCAAGCCCGGCTTAATTTTTTTTTTAATTTATTTATTGTAGAGATGAGGTCTCACCAAGTTGCCCAGGCGGGTCTCAAACCCACGGGCTCAGGCAATCCATTCACCTCAGCCTCCCAAGGTGCGGAATTACAGGCTGAGCCACCGAGCCCGATTTCTCTAGCTTTTTCTACTATGAAGCCAGAAGACAAACTCGTTAATTCTCCCTGGTCCCCTCAACAACTGGCTCAGGGTCCTGCATGGCTACTCAGCAGTTAGTGCTGTCTGATGGATGCATGGAAGAAAAGTACTATTTCTCTGCCAAGGATGGTGTCCACTCCATAGCTGGCTTCCAATCCCCAGGGCAAAACCTCCCTGAGAGTTTACCAGACTCTATGCTGTACCTCTGTTTTCTGACCTCCCAGCCCCTGCCCCTACCTACCTCCCACCCCCCGCCTTCCTCTCCCCAGCCTGTACCTTCTCAAATGTTTTGTAGTGCTCCTTGACCATCTTTTGCATAAAACTGTGGAACTTCTTATTCAAGTCCTTGAAGGCATTCATGGCGGGGCTGGGCAGGTAGCGGAGGATGGGGATGAAGTCAGCTGGGTTTCCGGAGGCTACCATCTCCCCGAACTCATTACTCAGGTTGACTATGCTAAGCAGTTCTTTGTGGTCGTGGTCATAGCGCCGGCCAAAGCATATGGCACAGATGACATTGGCCACTGACACCACCACATATCTGTAGGGATCAAAGTACCCAACCTTTGCCATCAGCTCCCGGAACCTACTAATAAGAACCTCGGCCTCCTTGCTCACATGTTCTTCCAGGTAGCAGGAGGATGAGGATGCCGGGTCAGAGGCGATGGAGAAACTCTTCAGGCCGTTCTGGGCCAGGCGCCGGCGGGCAGCCCACACCGGCCCAGAATCTGGACTGAAGGACATGCTCTGGCCTTCGGTGATGAAGGAGAAGCTGTAGAGGTCGGGCCGGCCCTTGAAGTCGTCGCCCTGCCGCACCAGGGCCTGCCGGATGGTGTCCAGGCCGCTCAGCACCAGCACGGGCGTAGAGCCGATTCGGATCTGCAGGATGTCCCCATACTGCTGGCTCATCTTCGACAGGACCAGGTGTGGGCTCTTCCCCAGGGTTAGCATATTCCCTAGCAGGGGCCAGCCCCATGGCCCTGGCGGGCTCTTTAGGCCTTTGGGGACCCGGGGCCATGAGGCCCTGACCACCCAGAACACGAGGCAGAAGATGGCAGAGGCCAGGAGAAGGTCCGAGGCTGAGAAAGAAACCAACTGGGACAACGCCATCTGTACAGACTACAGGAAAAGGAAGGAGGGGCTAGGCTGAGTGTTTAGATGGAGACATTCATTCATTCAATCACTCACTCAGGTATTTGATAAACACCCACACGTATTCTATGCTTGGCTCCCAGTTGGACACCAGAAAGACTAAGATACATCTACTATGTATCCTGGGCCCCTGGAACTGACTCTTAGCACATCACAGAATCTGAGGACGAAAGAAGTCTCCCAATTTCCGGCCCAGGTGTCTGAATTCCCAGCCCTTCCTCTCTCCTCTACCTATCATCTGTTTCCTGTTTTGAGGCTAGAGTGGAGGAGGCAAGTGACCACTCAAAAACAGGGAAGCCAAGGACAGCACCCCTGCCAGCACCATGTGTACAGTGGACATTGTGTCAAAGGTCCCCTCTGCCAGGGCTGGCATCTTGCTGATACCTCCTACGCCGCT